TTTGCCGCTGAGCTAAATCCCCAGCCCCCAATTAGCTTATTTTCATTATGTATATTTATGAGAAATAAATATAAACAACATATATAAATATAAACAACATCTTTTAGCAGGCCAGAGGTAAATTTCAGGGCTTTATATTTGGGGACTATGAACATAATCAAGAGGTCCCATAGAAGATGGGAAAAGAAGAGTAAACATAAGTGAAAAAGGGAAGCACAGGGTGATAAAGGAGAGCTACTGGGAACTCCTGTGACAAGGCATAGTTGATGGCATTAGGGACAGTAGATATCTAAAGTCAATTTTAAGAATTTTCTTTCTTGCTTTGTATAGAGAGCCCTTTCTGGTCCTCATCACAACCAAGGAAGTTTATATTTGTGATCCCATGAAAAGTTATTGGAATTCTAGTGAGTTAATTGCAATCTACCCCTTCCAGTGCAACCCGTGGTGAGAATAAAGACACTAAGGTATATTTGTAGTTATGAGGAGACAAAGGGTCCTAAGTCCAGCCATGACAATGGCTACCTGGAACAAAAGCCTTGACCCAAGGCCGAACCGGGATTTTATTCATTCATGAAGAAGGGAGTGGCTTGAGGATGAATGACTGTGAGAATCATGGGAAGTAGGTGAGTGCCATGAATTGGGCTAGGTAGGAGGCCTGAAATCCCCTCTGCAATATGTAGAGAGAAGGATGTGCAGAAAAAGTAATCTGCATATCCCAGTTGAGAGAGTGTCTAATGTTTTGGGGCCAGTGCTTCAGCCCCGATGTGTAATCTTTCCAGCCCCAGGAAGTCATAGCCTCTATCCTGAGGCTCAATCCCAGCTGACAGCGTGAAGCATTGGCTCACACGTCCCACCTCATCCTGGCTCATTTGTGGGAACAATGGGGGTCCAGGGAAACACACCTACCTTCTTCAGAGACTACCACTAGCAACTTGGCTACACCACTATGCATGGCTTAAAGCCAGCTGATGGGATAAGGAAAAGGTCCTAGCCAGCTTTGTGCATATCAATACGTGGAATTAAGGTCAGGCTCAGCCAAAATGGAGACAATTGCTCCTCCTTCAGGGAGAGTCACCCAGGTGGTCCTCTACACTTTGTAATTCCCTCACATCATTTTCAAATCTTTCAATGACATTTGTTACAACTATGTATCATCTAGGTTTAAAGAACAAATAATTATCATTGTGGTTGTTTCCATATAAGATAAAGCTGATCAGAACATGGAATCTCAGACTAAGTTATTTCAGTATTAAAACCAAGAGCTACTTCAAGTTAACACATTTCAATTTTTTTTTGGAACAAAATTTTCTTTGGGTGAGATAGAAGTGATTTTTTATTCAAATTTATAGAATTAATTTTGAAATGTAATTTGAATGGATGTAGATTGAATGGGCTTATGGATCAAGACCATTAAAATGTTCATATCCCCTTTACCTGATATTTCTATGTTTGAGCTCTCGTTTAAGGAGATGCAGGTGAGGAATGAGAATAGGGACTTTGGACTTGGTGAGTATGGAGTGTTATAGTAGCATTATTTATTAGTGCAAATATGAGCAATAATATTATGTTTGTTATGATGCATGGAATATTTAAGAGCTGAATTCATTTTTCTTCCCACTTAAGAAATTTATCCCGATATCCATTAGCTCACAGTTCTGTTAGTTCTAAGTCCACTTTTGTTCAGCTGGGCCCAATTCATGGGCTTTCTTTTTACTCTGTTCTTAATTTCTATTGATTTGCAAAATCTTTTTAATAAAATGAGATCCCAGTTGTTGATTCTTTGAAGTATTTCCCATATAGTTTGGTTTTTGTTCATGAACTCTCTGCCTACCCCTATGTCTACCTACTATTTCTTCCAGTAGATTTAATGTTTTTGTTTTAATATTTAGATCTTTGATCCATTTTTTCTTGAGTTTGGTGCATGTTGATAGACATGGGTCTAGTTTCAGTCTTTGGCATGTGGAAAGCCAGTTTTTCCAGCACCATTTATTAAAGAAGCTATCTTTCTTCCAGTGAACATGTTTGGCCCCTTTGTCAAAGAGAAGGTGCCTGAATGTATTTGTAGTTGTGTCTGCATCTTCTAATCTATTCCACTGATCCTCAGGTCTGTTCTTTTTGCCAGTACCATGCTGGTTTTATCACAGGAGCTTTGTAGTCTACTTTTAAGTCAGGGATTGTGATACTTCCTGCCTTTCCTTTGTTGCCCAGGATTGCTTTTGCTATCCTAGGTGTCTTCTGGTTCCAGATGAATTTTAAGAATGTTTTCTCTAGATCTGTGAGATGTGCTAATGGTATTTTGATCAGGATTGCATTAAATGTGTATAACAATTTTTGGAGTATGGCTATTTTCACAGTGTTGGTTCTTCCTATCTATGAGCAAGGAATATCTTTCCATTTTGTGAAATCTTCTTTGACCTCTTCTTTCAGAGTACTGCAATTTTCACAGTGTAGATCTTTTACTTCCTTTCTTAGTTTGATTCCTGAGTATTTTATTTGTTGGGTGCTATTGTGAAGGGTGTGGTTTCTCTAATTTCTCTGTCTTACTGATTGTTTAGGTGCTTTTCAGTACTACTCTCTTCTCTTGTTCTGGACCTTCAATAGTATAAACATTAGCTCTTTTGTTATTAACCCATGCATTTTTGAATGCCTGACTTTTCCCCCCACAAAATGATACTAATTTATTCTTTTTTCCTTACTGTGAAAAAATGTACACAACATGCAGCATACCATCTTAGCCATTTATAAACATGTAGTTCTCATATTTCTATAGTAAGCACGCTCACATTGTTGTGCAACCAATAGTCAGAACTCTTCATTTTGCAAAAGAGAAGGCAACTCCATACCTGTTAGACAACAAAGCCCATCCTCATCTCAGTCTAGCTCCTAGCAAACACCATTCCCCTTCTCTAGAATTTGCCTACTCTAAAAACTTGATATAGTGTTTCTTTTCACAATTAGTTGATTTGACGAAGCACACTGTTCTCAAATGTCACCCATGGTGCAACACATCAGAATTTCCTTCCTTTTTACTAACGAGATTCTGATTTTTTTCCAGTCTATCTTCTTAATTCTACTGATGTTTTCAAATTCATAGAGTGTATCTTCTATCATCTCATTTTATGATTGATTTTCATCAGAGAGCTTTAATTTCCTATAATTTTTTTTTTTTTTTTCTGGTACTGGGAATCAAACTCATGACCTTGTGCTTGCCAGGCAGGCACTGTGCCACTGAACTAAATCCCCAGCCCCTTTCTATAATTTTTTCTTGGAACATTAGTGTGTAGTACACAATGATTACATTCATCATGGGAGTGGGTACATGACATAGCACATCCTAACTCTTCTTACTTCCCTTTCCCTTCCTCTCTCCCTCATCCTCTGTCTCTTTGTCCTTTGCCCTTTGGAAAGTATCCATCTCCCCATAACCTTTTATTTTGCTCTTTAAATTATTTATACTTTGGTTTTTCATATAAGAGAAATCATGTGATGTTTAAGCTTTTGTTTCTGGTTTATTTCACTTAACACTATTGCTTTTTTGAGACAGGGTTACACTGTACAGTTAAGACTGGACTTCAACTCACTGTAGCCTTGAACTCCTATAGCTCAGGCTGGCCTGGAGCTCACAGTGATCCTCCTCCCTCAGCCTCTGAGTGCTGGGATTACAGGGGTGTACTACCACATGTGGCTTTGGTTCAGTTTTGATAACTCAGATGTATCTAAGAATATATCCATTTCTTCTAGATTCTCCAATATA